CCCGTGATCCGTGGACCGCTGACAAGCAACGTGACTGCCGGCCGCACCTGCCCGCGTTTCCGCATCGTGAGAACGTATGCGACGCGCTCGCTGAAGAATCTGCACTTGGGCGAGACGGAATTTGTATGTTGGAAGTAAATACTGAATTGCGACTGTTTCTTGGGTTGGGGATTTGGTCAAGGTTCTCGTTGAGATTTTTGATTGAAGATTGATGGAGAGTTGGAGAATATGAAAGCGAGCTTTTCAACCCCTTGTTTTGTGATGATGTGGAAATAGCTGTAGTGCATCGAGACAACCCTTATATTAGAGGGTGAAGTGTCGGAAGTTTAAATAACGGGAAAATTGTTGTTTCATCTACGAAGAATCGAGGCGAGAATGTTTAGAGAATTCAGAGAAGCAATTTTATTGAACTCGGGAGAAACTGAATTTGTCGGAAATAATGACTTATTGCGACTGTTCGATAAGTTGGGGAGTTTTTCAAGGTTCTCGTTGAGATTTTTGATTGGAGATTGATGGAGAGTTGGAGAATATGAAAGCAAGCTTTCAACCCCTTGTTTTGTGATGATGTTGTGAAAATGGCTGTAGTGTACCGGGTAACCCTCATATTAGAGGGTGAAGTGTCGGAAGTTTAAATATCGCGAAAATTGTTTCATCTACGAAGAATCGAGGCGAGAGTGTTTAGATAATTGATATGTGAATTTTATTAAATTTTTTCAAGAATACATAGAAGGTTAAAGTCTCCGGTTGCTAACATAACGGTTAATATTGTATTGCAATAACACGTGGAAAGATTTTAAATAGAATTTAATAAACATAAATATTACTCGACACCTTTGAATTCGAATGAAATATTCTTCTGTTACCGATTGTTATATTTTCTCACTAAATTATTAGTAACACGATTGTTGTATCGATCACAGTTGAAAAATAAGTCACAGTCAAATAACTAGTTATGGAACAATGGTAAACAAGCTAGATGAATTTTTCTTAATGAAACCAGAAACCAGAGAATAGACAAAAGAACTGATTAATCGAAGAATATAAGTATTACTATAAAGTAAAATAAAAACAAATACCAGAATTTTAAACCAAAGTTTAAAAACGTACTGTACGTTTAGTGTTAATTGGTCCATTTTAATTTAACAACAATCGATGTTATTCATTACCCACGGATCAAAGCAAACAACTATTTTGCTATTATCATTGTATTACCTTCAAATGAAACTTCCGCTTGAAGTAGAATGGACAATTTTGCTGCATTTCTTCCAAACTGTCGATATTAAAACGGCACATGAGCTTAGTGGCGAAAGTAAATAGTACGCCAAGGGGTTAATTGTCGAGTATCGTCGAAGTTGAAGTTTTCGTGTGCACGCTGAAGAGGCACGTCCACGTTCGGGACAAGTGTATTTAAAGGATGAAAAGCCGGAATCAGGGAGCCGTCGCGTCAGGGTGTCGTTTTTCTTTCTATGTTGACGCAGTGCGAGCTAACAAGTAGCCATTGTGAGCCCCAGTGTCAAGATGCTACTTGACGGTGCGCCGGTGAACGGGCCGGACCCTCTTCACAGACGGTTTCGCTCTTTCATGCGGCCCGCGGCCCGTTCAATGGCTACGTGGGCCAGTGATACACATCGTGTCAAACACTTTTCACCCTCTTCGATCCCCGGTTACACTCGATTTTCAATGAAATTGCCCCACAATCACCACTCAACGCAGCCCCTTTATGGAGACGGATCCCATGAATCTTTGATAAAGACCAGACTATACACGTAACCATTTATACAGCCTTTGTGCTTCGATTTACGAAGAACGCGGCTTTAGAGAAGTGTACAATATTTCTGGGGATTCAACTATTTAACGCTATTCCTACCGCGAGCAGTCGAATGACTGTTTTTAAAATTTCGATTAGAATTTCCTATAGACAACGCAATTGAATGCTATAGCATTCATTTTCATTGTAATGCAAAATGACACGAACGCTATAACATTGAGATGTCTAGACTACATTGTCATGAATTCAATTCTACATAGCCTTAATTTTTCGAAATTATTCTGCACTTTAAACCTCGGAGTAAGATATTTGCATTCTTTCTATCTTTGCGGCTCATTAGAATTTTCACTCTCCGCGAACGTGTTAATCAAGCTATTGATATATAATCCAGCTACATATAATACGTTGAAGGTTTTGTATGTTTCGAAGAATCTTCACTGTCCGCGAACGTGTTAATTAAGCAATTGTTATATAATCTAGCTACATATAATACGTTGGTAGTTTTGTATATATCAAAGAATCTTCGTGAAATTGTTAATATTACGAAAATTAAATAACTCACACCATTTTCGAAATGAAAGGTCCATGCGTGTATCGCCGGCGCTCGCACACACTGATCCCGGAGAGGAAACGATCCATCGACGGGGTGGTGCCTCTGTGGGGTCCAGGCTTAACTTTACGATCTCTTGAAATCCCTTCGGGGCTTACGGGGTCCCGCTACGAGGCTAATAGAACCGAAATTATAACAGGCCGGTGAGCATGCGTCGACTGCTCTTATTCCGCCCGGCTGACGGATCGGTGAAAAGACGTCGGACGGGGAGGGAAGCGTGATCGGGAACGACGGAGTCGAAGGTCCCAGGGAGCCGATTAAAGGATCTTTCGATACTTTTTAGGACCGCCGGTGATCGTCCTCGAGTCCTGTGAGCCGGACACGCTCTAGGAGGAGACTATAAAAAAGAACATAAGAACACACGTGAAACCATTCTTTTCCCTTTATATTTAGCGATGATCAGTAGGTTTATCAATGAAGTCACCGCTAATAGATTGGACAATTATTTTGATTGATATTTAGAGTACGATGTGAATAGAAATTATTTGAGGTTACTTATTTTCGTAACACGTCGACTGCCACGTTGGTCACCGGAGCTTCAAACTGCTTGAATAATAATTACTAGAAAATTTATATTGAATCGAAACGTCCAGTGACATAAGCAGCTGGATAACAGTGTAATATGAGTATCGTAATACCTAAACATTAATAATTTCTAATACTATTTTCCTCTAATATAAAGGAATAAATCTTGCTATAAAAAAACGCTCGAGATTCTCGTGGCAGTAAACGTAATAGAATTTTGCGATGTATCGCAGAGGAATCTTTTAAGAAAGGAAATTGTCCATTAGCTCTGCTATTAAGTAAAACAGTGTCTACTTAAAACATAGAGAAATTGGGAAAAAATGGTAACACAGTAAAATAATCAAATTCAAATCCTGAAAAATCGAAGTGTTTTAAATTCTCCATCTCTGCCTCAATGTAATAACTTCAAATAGGAACGTTAAAAAAGTCTTCAAACGACGATGTCAAACTTTCATGGACGAACGATTTCCTGAAACTCTCAAAGAAGAAAGGACCGTTCGTTGTCCGAGAAAAAAAGAAAGGGAAATATTGTTGGTCCTTTCATTGTCGTTGGTTCTTTCTCTGTATAATTTCCGTTGATCCTGCGAGCGTGATGATCATCGATAGGACCGACAAGATGTTTGGCCGGGCACAAAGAAATCGGGTCACGTGGAACGGGCCAGATGCTCTTTTCCAGGATCGATCGATCGATCCCCGGGCTGCGAACGTAACAGGACGGGGGAGCGCGTTGCGTAGACACGGAACCGGCAAATATCGGCACAAAGAGCCCGGGTCCCGACCCTTATCTGTCATCGGCGATCGCTGATAGAGCTAATAGAACTGGACCGATGCTCGTTTTGAAATAATTACCACCGGGTATCGTGTCGACGATCTTTCTGAGCTGTTGCAGGTAGTTTCGTAAGCGACGATCCTTCGTTTTCCCTTAAACGGAGCCGACTTTCACGTTCGATCCGAACAGATCACCGGAATCTCTTTTCAGTGCTCCAGAGATCTTCCGGTGATGGTCGCAGCCCCGGAAAACTGAGGATCGTCACGGAAATTTACGATTTTTGCAGATGAAAGTCTGAGAAACCGAGGGGCAACGAGTTTTTGCAATGTATATTAATTATTTGAACGTTACTGTTGGAGCGTGTCGAATAGTTTAACAAAAAGATCTTCCAATGATGGTCAAAACCCTGGAAAACTGAGGATCGTCACGGAAATTTAAGATTTTTGCAGATGAAAGTCTGAGAAACCGATGGGCAATGAGTTTTTGCAGTGTATATTAATTATTTGAACATTACTGTTGGCGCGTGTTGAATAGTTCAACAAAAAGATCTTTTGCTGATTGAAATATTGGAAAATTATGGATCATCACGAATATTTACGTTTTTCGAGGTTGAAAATCTGAGAAACCGAGGTGCAACGAATTTTATTTTGTGTATTAATTCTTTGACGTTTCAGCTACCGGTTATTGAATAATTTTCTAAAAATTATTGAAATGTTAAGGATTTCAAAACAAACACTGTAACGAACGAAACTACGATTTTGAAGTAACAAGATACTGCGAGTAACGTGATCTAACGACTTCCCGTAACTAATACATAAAGAGAACTTATAATTATTAAAGTAGTTCGATTCCTTCAGAATCTTAGTACCTACTTCAACCAACAAGACAAGCTGAGTCTTGGTCCAATTGAAACTGCCACAGCCTCAGGTCTGGAGCCAATCCAAATTTGTTGCGGACCGAGATCTTGATTTAGTCAAAATTCGAGCAGCCGCTCGATCAAGCCTGGATTTGGTCCAAATTTCTTGCAACACTGAATCAGTCGGCCTAACGAAAGTTTGTTGAAAATTCAGCCAGAACTCGGTCCAAATTCGAATGAGATCTTAATTCGAAGGTCCAGCTTGATCGAATGAAACGTCAAACCGAGTTTCTTAACTCGGTTGCATCCGATTTCTCCAAAGATTCCCCGCGATTCCGAATAAAATCTTCGATCACCGGAAACTCGTTGATCTCCGGCAACGACCTTTCACCCGAAACATCAATCCTACGTGGAAGGATCGACAGGATATCGCGCAGGGTAACTTTGTCAAGCAGTGAGCCACTCGAACGTATATAATAGCTTCCTTTTATTACTTTAAATAACATCAACTTTACTCGATTACAGTTCGATCGTACATCGGTGATCTTCTTACTTGTCTATTTCATGCCTCCTTCGTTCGTTACACTTCTCTCTCTCTCCCTTTCTCTCTATTTTTCTCTTTCTCCCTCATTCATACGCTTGCATCGACGCAGTCTCTCTCTCTCTCTTTTTCTCTCTATCATTCTTGCTTTCTTTCGTTCCTGTTTGCTTCTATCCCAGAGCGATTTGTCTTAGTTAGTTGTGCAACGTTTAGGCTTGTCCGCTAAAATACACGAACGAGAAGAACTTGGGAAGAACTCTCGTTTATTAATAATCGTCCTTGCGCCGTGAAGCATTCTCCGCGTGCGATATCGTGTCTCTATGTGCTTCTACGTGTCTCCTATCAATCTCTCTTTCTCTCTCCCGTTCACGCACCGTCCCCTAACAGTTGTCTCTATCATCCGTCCCATTCACCCTTGTATCCACACTTCCGTCCTCCGCATTCAATCCCGTCGTCCCTTTCAATCATCCGTCGATAGACAAATTTGTGCAAACGCTGTCGAACACAATTAAAAACGAAACTTTGGTCGGTTATTAACAATGATTAAGCTGATCCATTGATCTCCGTCGTCGAATCGTTGAACTTTTCTAACGGTCCCCGTGCATGGCGGACGCGAACACTGAAATCTCTGGCACGATCGGTGTCGATCAACTGTACGAATCAAGAATAAATATAGTTGCGACCGCGAGGAACTATCTGCGGGAAAATATAACTACAAAACGATTGGTCTCTCAAGAAACACGGTCTCGCGTGAAATGCGTAAGAAATGTCTTTTAACGTGTGCACAGCTCGCGATAGGAGTTTCCGCGACTGGAAACAGCAAGTTGTTTCCTGGATCGAATGGGAATCGTAATTTCGTGTAATCGTGATTCGATTAGACGATGGGAATCCGTTTAACCCTTCGTGGACGATTTTTTTCGGGGGTATTCGAGATGTTTATTGGAAGAAACATTGAATTATGAATACTAGAAGAAAAGTACTAGGAAAATTGTGTAAATTGACACATTGACTGCCACGTCACCCGAAGTTGGGTGACACTACTTTTCACGTAAACTTAGAGATTAATTGTCTTGGTAACGAGCCGAATTTCGTTGGATATGCGAGACGTAAGAGTGATCCTTACGAAGAATCTTGGTTCCTTAGTTTCTGCTTTGTTCCGAGATCTGTTTCGACTGCACAGGAATTTCGACGAGTGTTCACTTGGCAGTCAAGGTGTTAATCAATGATTTGTTCGCAACTTTCTATTATAGACGCGACAATTTTACATGATATTCGTCCTGAAAGGGTTAACAGCTGATCACGAAAACCTGCAAATTTTAAGTCTATTATTACATTTAAAAAAGAAAAGAGAAACACGTTTCGGAAACTTGTGTCGTCCAGAAGAAATACGTGCATACTGTGGCGTACGAAGCATATAGATTGTGCGTGAATCAAAACGATTTCGAGACGATTTCGTCGATCGAAATCTCGAAGCGGAACGCAGCGAGCGTAGACATCTTGGTTCTCGCAGAGGCGATCAACAGATTCCGATTCTCCGTTATCGATTGACCGACATGTCTCTGAAATTGCGAGTACACTGATATCTATAATAAAAAAATAGTATTCGTCAAATTCATGATTTCCGTATCTTCCCCTTCGTTGCAATTCCATCGTTCCGCGGGGTTAAAATGTAACATTCGCAGGAGATTACGATAAAACAAAAATTCGCTAAAATTGATTGACGTCGTGACTACCGTTTCGAGACCCGATGCATTCACTAAAACACTGCGAATAGTATCGTTGATAAAAACAAAAGGAGTCTCGTCATCGAAACTCCGAATAACGAATAAATCGCTAAAAAGTGATCGCGAATCACATTTGAAACAATTTAAAAGAAAAAGAAAGATCCCTGCGAGTTTTAACAACTCGAATAAACGAAGAACCGAAAAAAGAAACGTCCAGTATCGATCGTTGATCTTGAGTTTCATGAAAAAAGCAAATGAAAAAAAGGGAAGGGGAAACGAACGGATCGTTCGTAGCGATATATCCCGAACATCGCAAAAAATGATATCCTTAGATAAAAATCCTTGAAATCGCCTGCGAGAAGCCAGATCTCGGACGGTCGCGATTTCCTTACGTACCGGGTGGCCTGAAAGTTAGCTGCAGCCAAGAGTCGAAGGCGCGTGTTTTATACAAAAGCGGCTGTATCTCTTTGCTTGCTCTTTTTCCCCCTTTCTCTCTCATTCTCTCTTCATCATTCTCACTTTCTCTCTCTCTCTCTCTTTCTCATTCTCTCTTCGTTTCCCTTCTCTCTTACCCTGTTTCGTCCCGAGGACTCTGTTTAAAGGGAAATCCTTTCCCTCCTCAGCATCCTAGATAAGAATCTTACAAGGCAATGTCGCAGGCGAACGGAATACATATTCCGGGACATCTGCGCGCGAGAGATGTCTCTTAAATAGAGAACCGATAACCCTTGTTTCCCTCCCCCGAGTCTGTTTGTCACTTCATCCTCTTCTTCGTCCTCCTCTCGCCCTTTCTCCCCCTTTCATTCCCGCGCTTTCTCCAACGTTCCTCCGTCAAGGAGTTATTCAAATGTTCCGATTTATTCAGACTTCCTGCTGTTCCCCTCAACCCCTGCAGACCAGATTTTCGCACGAGCGTACGATCACTTATCTGACCGACTGCCATTCGATGTGTCGCTGGTTGCATGTACGAAGAGATTCTGGTAGCATGTCGTTTTTCGGATAGAAACAGGCTCGAAGCAAGGATTGGTTGCACTTTCAACGAAATTATAAAGCTTGATGCTTGACGCGAAGCTCTGCGCGATCGAAACAGGGTTGTTCCTACGATCTCTCGTTAAATTGTTGAATAAAATTTAACGAGAGATCTTGAACATCTGAAATGATTTAAAACAAAAAGAGAATTCTGGAATGCCAAGGTATTTTGTCAGGCGTTGATTTAATAGGATAGTGTACCCACGTTATAACGTCCGGTCTGAAGGGGTTAATTTCGAATTAAAGAAACTTCCCTGATTCAATTTAAATCCCGAGTGAAGTTTTGTCTGGAGTCGATCTGAATTTTAATCCTGTCGTTCCTTTCTCTCCCGTTCATTCTCCCATTTTCTCAAATGTTCTTCCATCCTCTTGCCCTTTCTCCCATGGTCACACTTCTCACTGACACTCTCTCATCCTCGTTTACTCCTTCAATTTCACCCTCTCTTTCTCTCTCTCTCTCACACACACTCTCTTTCAAACACACATTCGATTTTTCTCTTTATGTACAGACTGCGAACTGCGATTAAATGATAACTTACGGGCTAAACTTACGCTACGACGGTGTTTATCATATACCGGGTGCGCGTGGCGTTTCGAAATGTTTCTTGGAGCTTTCTCGAGCGAGAAGTATTCTTTTCCACGATTTCGGAGAATTTCGGCTTTCGCTTCGATGCACTGGCTGCTCGGGAAGTCGAGATCTTGGTAGCCTGCGGAACTCCTGGGCTATTCGATGCGAGGATTCGTCGGAGATAGTCTAACTATCAACATTTGATACACTCGTGAAAACGAAGTGTAACGTTACTTCGTACACATATTTTTATAAATAAATAACTAATGGAAAACCGATTTAAAAGTTCAAACATTTCTTTCTTGATCATTTCATCCATACTTTGTTCCATGCGTATTAAAATATGTCCATTAAAACAACCACAAGTTCATTAAAGAGAACTGTTTAAAAATAAAAACATAGAATCTACGATAGTGACTACCATTAACACGTTGAATGCCATGGGGGTCACCGGTGACCCCGATCAAATCCGATTGCTATAGTTCACTCAACGAAACGATTATTCGAAAACATTTCTGTTATAAATAGTGCCACCTAATACGGTGACATTCAGCTAGATCACAATAATAATAACACAACTCAATCAAATGATTTAACCCTTTGTGGACGGAGATTCTCATGAAATACATAAAACTTCCAACAGACGAAGCTAAATTACATATCGATTGCTTGAATAGTAAAAATGAAGGAAACTACGCACCGAATTCTTGCTGTTTGAGTAACTGGATCGTTTGTTCGCTATTTAGTGCTCCAAATATGAAAGTTCAACGTCGCTGAAATATTGTCGTCTCTCCGCGAAGGGTTAATATTATTTTCTTTCTCTACTATGCGTATTTACTGTATGAAATTATGCGGCGTTCAACGTGTTAAACTGATTCTTCGAAAAATCGACTTAAACCAGTTGCGAAACGAACGATGCACGATACGGGAGAATCTAAATTCTGCGAACACCGAACGCCAGTACGGAATAGAATGAAATAGAACAAAAGCGGCGGGCAGTGGAGGACAGTCCGCGTCGAGCAGCAAAAACTCGTTCGTTCGTTTAATCTTGTCCCGCGGAAGATAAGATCGTCGAGCAACATCGAAGAGCAAGGTGAGACGAGACGGCTCAATGGCAACCGAAGCGTTCAGAAAAGGTGTTGCTGATTGAATCCGCGACGGGACGATTGGCACTAGGCAATTGGTTGGCAGGAAACAGCTGCTCCGCCTACTACGCGCCGCTTTGGCCGGACCAATTTGCATACCATTCCGAATCCGCACGTTTCTGTCGACTAACTGGCACGATTAAAATCGTTTTTCACCGCGGGCCCAATTAACCTCCCGCAAATCCCAATTTATTTCTTCCGGAAAACCGTTGCGTAACGCAAGGTCGAGCCGCGGACGAAGGGAACCTCGAATTAACCCTTCCGCGAGCTACCGGGACGCCTGCAGTTCTTCAAGCCGCAATTACGATCATATTTCTGCATAATCTAATTAGAAAATGTAGCAAATCCAGAGAACTCCAGAATGAAACGTGAAAATAGGTGTCCGAGGAATCCAGTTGCACACGAAATCGTTAATAAAATGTAGACCTCGATATCTTCGAAAGCGAATTTTCCATATTCCCTATTTTTGAAATTGAACGAAACTACTCTCTCCGTTCGACTACATCGTAGAATTTCGTTCAGTTCAAACTTCCTTTTAACTCGCGTCGAATTCGAGTTCACGAGCGACCAGTGCAACCGAAGCGAACGATTTCGCAGAGACGGGGCCTCTAAATCGAAGTGATTCCAATCGATGGACCATCATCGCGAGTAATTCTAAATATCACGAGGTGAAATTGAAACGCGAGCACCCGGCGATCGCCTAATACAAACGAGATTAACTTAATCTTCTCTCGAATGCGCGTGTATGCGTGTATGCGCGTGTGCGTGTACGTGTGTGAATGTTGTTAGTGTTTCACGCGTGTGCGTGTGTGTGTGTATGCTTGTTTCACGTTGTATGCGCGTGTACGTGTATGTGTGTATTATCTACATATGTACACAGGACAAACACAGAAGCGTACGGTGTAAGAAGATTGTGTATAAAGAGCATGTGTGGTTCGTTATAGCGACGTTAATTAATTAGCTGCTGGCTGGGGAGCCGTACACGCCTCAGGGATCATTCTCCAACTTCGCTTCTCTGTTGTCTTTCCCGGTGACACAACGTCCGAGCTGTCTTTCGAGGGCAACGTCGGCCATACTTCGATTCTGTTTCGAAACAGGCCGACCCGAGAGTCTCCTATATGTTCGCACGTTCGCGGAATTCCGTGATAATTCGGGTCGGATGAATCGCTGATTAATTTCGTGGAATCTTTGGGAGACGACGTCAACCGCGAGCCATTCAATTTCACGCTATGAGCTTCGAATGTCTGTCGGGGTTCTATTGAAAGTCATTCGAATACGCAGCTCGATTTAAAGCTAAAAATCGCCGAGTGAAAGACACTCGGTACGAGTGATCTTTCTGTTCGAAATCTGATCCAGACGGTCGACGAGTAAGCTGTCTCCAGGTTAAAAGGAACATATTCTCGAAAAATCTCGAACAAATTCGCGAAGAGACGAATTGATATAATTCAGTTTTCAGGATTCTAAGTTTTCGAGTTGCTAAGTGTTTGACACGATCAACTCCGCGAAGATGGCGGTGCAAGAAGAATGACTTCTATATACTTAACACTAGAACTACCAAATGGAATGACCCATTCCTTGATTTCTTCTGTTGCGATTACTAAAAAAAATTGCTAAAGAAGCTGATTAAGTAACACCTAGGCTGAAATTTAAACCAATTCGAATCCGAATGAATCCACGTTTGTATTAATAATGAAATCTTCCAGAGTCACTTTAAGTGCTCGGTAGTTCTAGTGTTGACGGTAACTTTAACTTCTCGGTATTTTCCGACTGAATCGAATCACGTGTTCGGCACTCTGTGCCAAGCACGACGGAAATAAAAATAAAAGATTCGAAACATTCCCAATTTTTCGGGGTGTACCAATTACTTATCGACCGACTCGCGTCCACGGAATTCGGTTGACACGGCGTCACGCTAATCCCCGACGAGTCTACCCATCGCTCATCGCGGCTGAAGCGTGCACGGTCCGACCCCGACTACTGGTAACCGTAAATAACGTATGCTTTGTCTCTTATTCCGAGGAGCTAGGTACGGGCGTTAACGCTACAAGAATTAGGATTGCTCAGGTTCCTGGGGAGGAGGTGAAAATTGATGTTCTGCGCGGGCGGGGGGATCGAAAAGTGGGTTAAGGGGATGGTCGGATCCGCGAAAAATAGACGCGGCGCGCAGCCGCCGCGGTATCTGGAAGTGTACGAGCTCTCTGCCTTGTCGCGCGATCACGCGGTATATGTATACGCGAAAAGAAAAAAAAATGCTAACATGTCTTTTGCTATTTCACCCGGAGGCTAGACCGGCGCGTCCATCCCGGCGAAGCAGCCGCCTAGCTCTGCCCTCCGGGTTCAACGATCAACATCGAGGCTTCGTCAGAAACACCGGGAATCGAGACGACGAAACGAAAGCGCACCAACGAGCTTCCCATCGGAACTCCTCTTCGCTGTTCGACGCGCTCCCGGTGATCATACCAGGCGCGATCCTCTGGCGTTTCGTTTCGATCTCTCAGCCTTTCCTTTCGTCTTCCGGCGAGAAAGTAAACGGAGAACAGTTCGCGAGAGCGATTCGATGTTCCACCGATCGCGTGGCAGGGGGAACCGTTCCTCGTTTCCTAAGGTCCGAGAAGTTTAGGGAGAACTCCGAAGAGTTCCAGCGTGGTAGGAGAGTTGAGTTTTCGTATGTTCTCGGCTCGGGAAATCGGTCGAGTGAGTTTAATCTCGTTACGCGTGGTCGGAGACGTGCATTGGATTGTTTCGCGGCAGGATCCTTACGAGACCAGTTCTCCGTTCAGCTTCCTCTTGGTACCCTTGCCTTGGCTGCCCGGGGCCCAGGGTCACAACGAGTGATAGTCGCCCAGCACGAGGCCGCTGTGATAACTGCCGTGCGACGTCGACATGCCCATCGAGCCCATCCCCTGGTACGCGCCCATCCCCATGCCGTTCATCGACATCGTGTTCATCGTGTTCACGCCCTGCATCGTGTTCGGCAGCATCGTCGACGGACCCATCGGGCTCAGCCCGCCCATCGACGGAGCTATAGCACCCATCTGCATCGACGTCGCCGTGTGGGGGAGAGACTTCTGCAGGTCGGCCGAGGTCGGCGTGCCGATCAGGTAGTCCTGGAACAGGTGATCCGCCAACGGCGGGGTTCAGTATCTCAGCTGTTACGTGGCTCGGGCGAATTTCAACACCGTTCCGCCGTGTGACGTCGAATAGGACTGGCGATGGTTTTAACAGTAGAACTACCGAGTTGAATTGATTTTTAAACGTTTCTTTTATAGAAATATAAAATAGAAGTGGAGTACGACGTCAGTTAAGTTATATTTTAATTTGCGTGTTGATAAGTCAACTGTTTTAATCATTTCTTAGGGAAGCATTTGTGTGCCTTCAATTATTGTGAAAGAATGAATGGGTCATTTTGACCCATTTGGTAGTTCTAGTGTTAAGTTTCATTGGATGAAGGTGAATACTAAGCGTTTCTTTGAGATGTCACTTTGATATTTGATTGGTGACTCTCGATGGGTTTGGATACTTTGAGGAGATGACGATTCGTAATATTTTACAACTCTGCTTACTAGAGCTATTACACTTTGAAACGACTTGTCGATTCTTTATACTGAAGGTTGTTTGAAACTGATGAAGCTTCATTGCGCGATAGGAAGGAAACGCAAGATTTAGCTTTTAACCCATTTGCATCACAAGCGGAATATCCTCGCAAATAACTGTTGTTCATCACCAAGAGCAGAATATTCCGCATAATTACTTTTAGTTGACTATTATATTCGGATATCGGATAGCTGATCAATTTCAATCAAAAGTTAAGAAGACTCAGTTGAACATCCCTGGTTTATAAAGTAAACTTCACATTTATTAGCAAATATGTAAATGAGTTCAGCTTTCAAGATTCGAAGATTCACTCTCCAAGACTTAGTCCTGAAGCTTCGAAGACCGCATCTCTGGTTTATGAAGTAAGCTTCACATTTATCAGAGAAGACAAGAATGGGTTGAGCATTGAAGATTCGAAGATTCAGTCTCCAAGACTTAGTCTCGAAGCTTCTTTGGTTTATAAAGTAAGCTTCACAATTATCAGAGAAGATGAGAATAGGTTGAGCATTGAAAATTCGAAGAATCAGTCTCCAAAACTTAGCTTCGAAGCTTCGAAGATTCATTCTCCAAGACATAGCTCCGAAGCTTCGAAGATTTAACCTCCAAGACTTAGTCCTGAAGCTTCAAAGATCGCATCTGTGGTTTATAAAGTAAGCTTCACAATTATCAGAGAAGGTGAGAATAGGTTGAGCATTGAAGCTTCGAAGATTCAACCTGCAAGACTTAGCCCTGAATATTCGAAGATTCAACCTCTAAGACCTGAAGCTACGAAGGCCGCATTTCTGGTTCATAAAGTAAGCTTCACATTTATCAGAGAAGATATAAATGGGTTGAGCATTGAAGATTCGAAGATTCAACCTCCAAGACTTAGTCCTGAAACTTCGAAGACCGCATCTCTGGTTTATGAAGTAAGCTTCACATTTATCAGAGAAGATATAAATGGGTTGAGCATTGAAGATTCGAAGATTCAACCTCTAAGACTTATCCTCGAAGCTTCGAAGACTCTCGAGCCGTCGACAATAGAATTTCAACCACGATACCTGCGGACTGTAGTACTGCATGTAGTCCAACTGGCTCTTCTGCTGGGCGCAGCTGGGCGGTGGAGGCGGCAGCGTCGCTGTCGGATGCACCAGGCCGTGGGTGCCGTGCGCGCCGACCTGTAGATGATGCTGCAGCTGATGATGAAGGTTCCGCTTGTCGTCGCCGCTCTCGCTGCTGGTGTCGTGGTGTTGCATGTGGTGCGTCGGTGTGTGAGGGTGGCTGAGGGTCGAGCCGTGGCCTTGGTGATACGAGTGAGGACTGGAGACGGAAACGGGCGGCGGAAGCTGGTACATGCCCGACGTCTGTTGGTGCTCGACAATTTGCTGCTGTTGCTGCTGCTGCTGCTGCACCGCGCACGCGGAAGGCTGCTGAGGCTGTTGCTGGCCGACCGCTTGCCTCTTCGCCTCGTCGCCGCTCTCGCTGCTCGAGTCACCGAGACCGCCGCCGTGTGTCTTCTCTTCCCTTTGACCGCTGCAACAAAAGGAAAAGCGATCGATCGGGTGAGACGAGGCTTGCAGTTCTAACACGTGAATTTTTATATGGGTAGCTTGATTTTGCTGATACTGATATAATATCGTTAACACTAGTACTACCAGATAAGTCAAAATGAGCCATTCCTAAATTCTTCTTTTGCAATTATTGAGAAAACAATAGATCCTTCTCTAAGAAATTTTGGAGGAAACTGTTTTGGCAATACGTGAACTATGTTTTGGGTGATGATCGCGGTAGATGCGCTCTTGGGGTTACTATAGGACAATTTTGAAGTCAACTTGACTGCTCGGTAGTTCGAGGGATAATTTTGAAATTTTTCTATGGAACTCTAAGAATGCAGCTACTGAGACTTCAGTTGACTTATGATTCAGTTTGAGTATTACCGAATCAATTTCTTTAGTGATTCCGCAGAGGAGCATGTGTTATGTTTTTAATCATTGCGAAGGAAGAACGGAGGAACGGGTCAATTTGACCCATCTGGTGGTTCTAGTGTTAAGTATACATTATTTCACGATATTTGAACACTGAAATGTTCAAAGGTGTCGAGGACACCAAAGTTTGTAACTGAAATAACTATATCTTTTTACCGTTAGGTCTATCATGGCGAGATTGCGTGGCGCAAAGATGAGTGCAGTTAGTTTAAAATATTTCAATCGTGTTATTACAATAGAACCACTATTTAAATTAACCCGTTGGCACTCGGACGTTTTTCACTAAAAATATTTTCAAATTTTCTGATGAGATACAGACGATACTTTGTGAAACTAACTCGAAGAGACATCACACGTACATTCAGCAACGAAGCTATTTTATTTCAGTATTTCTCTAATCGATGCATTACACGAGGTACAATATTAAACATCAAGTTTGACAGTTGTACTGTACGAAATCAAGTGGTGAGTGAGAGTCACCTCTCGAGTGCAAAGGGTTAAAGACATCCATCTGAGAGTTCTAGATGCAACAAACCCGAAACTGCGTTCTCAGCGCAGCATCTTCCGAAAAACTGGAACAACTCCCACGCGAAAGAGTAAAAGTCGGGATTAAACTTGAAAATAAGAAGAACAGTACGGTCGGGGGATAATTCAATGGCAGTCATAGAAAAAGACATTCCCTGGCCCGCGGACCGTTACTTAGGAAACACGGGGAACGCGATCTAGCCGCGCAATCTCGCGCGAGGATCTCTCCCCGCGACACGATCCTCTTCCACGGATCGGCCACGCCGCGTTTCACCTTTCTTATCGATCCCGCCGGCTTCTCGTTAACCGCTAACAATACATGGTGGCCCTAATCCCGTATCCCAATAATTATACCAACCAGCGAATCTGCCTCACCGCGATTCGCGCTTTCGTAATATTCCCTTCTATCGAACAACCTCGCGCCGACCATTCTCCATCTCTCTTTCCCCCCGACCACTGCACGCGGAACGAACCTAATATAATTACTGAACGAAGGAGCGGGGAGGAACAAACAGATGGAGGTAAAGAGAGGAACGAATAAGCAAGAAAGGAGAAAGGAAATTCAAAACGAGAAACAGATTATGAAAATCGGTAGAAAGAAGATAACGAGTGAAGAAAAAAAGAACGGTATCAAAGAGGCATTAACCCTTTGCAGTCGAGAGGCGACTCCCAACGCCAGATGATTTGATACAGGAAAATTATAAACTTTAACCGTTAACCTTTGTATACCGCATCGATATGTGAAACATTGAAAGAAAATAGCTTTGTTAATTTACACGTGGTTTCTTGATAAATTCGTTTTAAAGAATCTTGTCTATATCTGATTAGAAAGTGCAGAATATTTCAAGCGAAAAACTTTTAAGGGTTAAGGAAGACAAAATGGTAATCGGTAAAAAAGCACGAAATATTCCAGAGAGAATGAGAAAAGAGATTCGGAGGAACAGATAAGCGAAAAGAGAGATAGACGAAAATGAGGGAAAAAGAAGAGGGTAAGAGAAAGAAGAAGAAAAGGAGACAGCGGGGTAGAGAGGAAGGAAAAGAAAAAGCCGAAGGGAGAGAGGAGAGAAGACTTCGGGCAGTGATCGGCAGTGACTCGAAGCGGAAGAGGATAGGGGCACGGAATAATATCGGGTAAGATAATACCGCGGTCGATGCGTAAACTACCGAGAAGAGGGTACTTGTGAATTAAGGGTGGACAGTGGTTGCCGGGGCGAGTAAGGGAGACCGTGGACTGGAGTGGGAGGCAGAGGGAGGTGGACGCGAGTGAAAACGATGGAAGAATAGGAATATAAAGCGAGATCCGGCGCGGGACAAAGAGACGATCTCGGTCGTCTCGTAAACTCAATTTAGCGGGCTGGACCTCCTCGAAGTCGAAGCACGTGGGACCTGAAGGGCCCCGTGACCGTCCTCCTCTCCTCTCCTTGGCAACCTCTTCCACCACCTTCTCCTCCGCTGCCCTCTCGCCCCCTCCTCGCCCCGTCACGCGCGTCTTCCACCGTTCCGTTCCTCCGTGTGTTCAGGGTACGAGCAATCGTTAAGCGCTTGTTTTACAAGTCGTTTAGACGTGCCCGCCGCGATACGGCACTGTCTCCGGCCCGCAAGTGCCACGACACTTGTCTACGGGGTGTGTTTTTCGAGAACCGGTCCCCGGTCACGCTGGCCACGCTACCGAGACTCCGATAACCGATCCCTCTGCTCCTCGCCTAGTCCTGATCGTCCTTGTTTCGAGGATCTTTCGACTTTTCGTGGCAATAGACTGGTTCCTGGACCCTTCCCTTGATCGTAGCTTGCCTCGAGTCTCGCGAAGCAAATGATAACCAGGAATCGCTTACGCCGGTAGTTCGAGGAGGTTGCGCTTCCGCGTGATCAACGTTGAGCGAACGAGAAATTGCAAGGGAGTCATTCGTTTCGATATGACACGGGTTAGCTCTAAGTTGCTCAGATCGGAAGGTAACATTGTAAGTACGGAGTACTTTGATTCACTAGATCGACTCTATCGCGAACATACAGAAACTCCAAATCCAGCGGACACCAGCGATGTCCCATTCCCGAAGCTCGGCGTAGAACACGGATCCGCAGTTGGTCCCGGCGTCAATCGCGGAACTATCGTCCCCAGGATCAAAAGGTTAGCACCGAGGAAGGATGCCGGGGAAAAGGAACAGAAAAACAGGTAAAAAAAAGGCCAGAGAGACGGAGGGGGGAAGAAAAGAATCGACTCCGGTGATCCTTCCCAGAGGACTGAAAGGCCAAGAGAGCGGTGTCTCGCGCGAAGGCGACGATAAATCCGTTCGGCAGGTGAAAATCTCGTGTCCCCGGTTGCAGGGAAGGGAGAGAGAAGGAGAGCGTGTGTTCTCTGGTCCGGGTCTCTTCTCTCCGGGAAGAATTATCTCCGCGAGACGCGACGCGAGGCGACGCAACGGATCCCACACGTGGAACGACGGCCGTTCGTCCCCTCCGCTCCTGCTACAAGAGGATCGGCTCGTTTCCACCGGTACTTTCCGCGCCACCCGTTGCATGCCGTGGGTCCATAACCCCGGGGACGAGGTGTCCCCAGGTATGCCTTATCCGAGGCGGGATCGCGCAGTAAATTTATCCCCGCGTTGCACGCCCCGCGAGCGCGAGACCGAGCGCACGGCCACGAAAGAACGGAATCTTTCGGGCATTATTATTTTCATTAGGATTTGTGACTCATCGCGCGTAGGAGACATTTATTTGGACGACCCGTTCGCCGTGACACCTACTACTCTCCGCGCGCCGGCTTCGACGCGCGACATCCTCGAAGCTTGTTCCCATCCTCCGAGCCTGGCCGCAGCGGCTTCAACCCCCTTCTTCCTTTTGTTCCTTCATTCGTTAACCCTTTGCACTCGAGAGGTGACTCTCGCCAGTCGGCACACTGGGATTACCGAGTTCGATGGTTGATGTTAACACGTTCACTGCCACGGTGGTCAGTGACGACCGGAGCTTCTAAACCGCTGGTGAATAGTTGCGACGAAAAACTTGATTTCGGATAAAAATATTTAGTGATGTAAGTAGCTAGATCGTAGCGTAATATCACTACTGTAAGACGAAATCAATAACAATTATTTTCAATATCATTTGCCTTTGTTATTAATGAATAGATATTATACTGTTTAGAACGATAGGAATTCTCGTGGCAGTCAACGTGTTAAGCTTCTTGTAATGCGTGAATATTTGATTTGCGGTAAAACTATAAAATCTGATATTTAATGTTGAACTCTGTATAATGCTTTGACACGTGAAATGTTAGGATAAAATAGCTTTGTTGTGTACTTGTAATTTCCCTTCGAGTTAGTTTCAAGGAATATTGTGTTCGCCTCGTTAAAAAATGTCAAACATTTCTAATGAGGAACTTCCGAGTGCAAACGGTTAATGGATGTTTCTCAGTTTTGTTACTGTTTCCTCGATGGTTTTCTTTGTTTATTGTAGATTCATTTAACACGTTGACTGCTACGGTCACCGATGACCGGAGCATCTGAATTACTCGGAAACAATTACAAGATGAAAATTGATGTCGAATTAAAATTCATAGTAACACGAGTAACTGAATAACAGTATAATTTAAGAATTATGATATCAAAGCATTAACATCTAATTCTAATACCATTCGCCTCTGTTATAATACGATAAGTAACGTTATACCAAACGCTCTAAATTCTCGTGAAGGTGAACGTGTTAATAAGTCACGATCCGTAACGATCGAGAAATTGTTCAAATCGACCGCGGAAGTTTTCAGAGTTCTTCATAAGAATTTATTATATTTCCCGGTGAAATGACAAAAACAGAAACATCAGTTTTATAGGGACACTGTCAGGTATGGAGTAATTGTTTGAATAAACACTGAAAAAATTAGCGCCGTGATTCTGATGTACTGTTAGGATGAAATTTCAGCCATGGGACAGCCTCCAAAGATCGCGATCTCGGCTACGATTAAGATCGAGTTATTCTTTCCGTCGTTCGAACAGAACGCTGCTCAAAAGTGTAATAACTTAATTGTTCGAGCTC